CAACTAGGGAACCTCCAGGAGACCTTAGAACATACTTCAAAATAGTCGCCACTCAGGGTGGTGGAAGCTGAGGTATTTATCCACCAACTCCTGTCTCTCGATGGCCACATCTTTAGTTGGTAACTCCCAGGTGGAAAGATCAGGAAATAGCCACAAGCGGGGAAATACGGGTGTTTGAGGGAGGAAGTCTTTTGGGAAGTGTTCACTTAGGCTGCAGAGATATGAGCTCAGGAATGGGACAGGGTAAGGACAGCTTGCCGTAGCAGTCTATATTTACAAATCACCAGGTTTCTCACAAAAAACTAGCTGATTTCTCACAAAAATATCAGAAAATCTGGGTCTTCATTCTCTCAGAGGGGCATCTGCTCGCTAGTGTGCCACAGTCCCTGTCACTCCCTGTTGTCTCCTGTCTGAGTCATGAATTGCTTAACGATGGGGATATGTTCTGAGAATGCATTGTTAAGTGATTCTGTCATTGTGTAAATGTCAGAGAGCACAATCACACAATGTGGATGGGACAGCCTACCACACTCCTAGGATCTATGGGGCCACTGTTGCATATGGGGTACCTCCTGGACCAAAGTATCGTTAAGTGACACATTTTACTTCTTTTAGTCCAACTCACTTTTTCCCTCTTTGCTACCCGCTTGGCCTCTCCAAGAAGGAGTCCAAGTTTGCTGTCCTTTAAAGAGGAGATAGGCCATTGCTGCACACAGGCCAAGTAGCCTTCAAGTTGGCATTTTGTTTCCTGGGAACAAGCCTTTAAATATGAAGTTGTAATAAGAAACTGGAGGCCTCTCTTGACAACCTGCCCAGCTCTCATTATGACATTTAGCCTGTGATTGATATTGTATGTGTCATCAAGACCTTGGCAGTTAATCTCTGGGTCGAATCTATGGAAACCAAACAGAACAGATTTGTCTTCCCCTTCCATTTTGGCTGTGATCTGGGAAACAGACGCTCCTGGCCTCTCTGAGACTCAGAGATTTGGGAGCCATGCAGAGAGGGATGCACATAAGCCACCTTCAGGATTTGGAAAGATTGCAGGTCTGTGGTTTCTGGACGGCTCCACGCTTTGTTCTCTTACCCCATCAAATCTGCACGCCGGAGGATAATAGATCCCAGAGCTCCCTCTGCGTGCCAAGCCGCTGGGTAGACCACACCACTTCCTCTTCTGTCTGGAAATGCAGCCGAGGCTTTCAGCACGGAGATGAGGAAGGGGATGGCTCCTTCCACAGTATAATGACGGAGGAATGGCTCCGGCAAGGGTGAGGTCAGCTTCAGTGAGCAAAGAAGGCAGGCAGAGGTTTCAGCATGCAATTTACTCCACATCTCCCTAGAATCACCTCTTCTAAAGTCTCCTTTAGGGGTAGGCAGTGATCAAAACGTGCCCATTCATTTTGAGACAAGAAGAGATAGTGACATGAAGTGCCTGAGCTTCTCTTTAAAATTAAGGAACCTGTGTTAAGGAAAGCTAAAACTACACTCGGGAGTTTGAGGTGTCTACACTGCTTCCACCATAGAAGTTTCTGGTCATCCCTTGAAACAACTCCTCCCTTTGGGTCTATGAACACCAGTAGTCAGGCACCAGCATGGAGTCGGGCCTGAGCAGTCACCCACTACAGGGGACTGTCCCTCCTGTATTCTCCTCTTGCTCTTCACTCTTCCTGCGAATCAGCCCAGAGGCACAGTTCCACCTTATCAGCTCTGTCCAAATCTTTAGCACAAGCTCAGAGTCTTCTTCATTCACCCTCTCAGCCATTCACTCACTCATTCCATTCATTCACAAAGCCATTCCCCCATTTAACAAGTATTTCCTAAGTACCTCCTGTGTGTCAAGATATTGAGGTTACAAACACAAAGGGCAGTAGGATCTGTCTTGGAGGAGCCCCGGAGTGAGGTCATCCAGCCCCTCACTCCTCCCAATCCTGCAACCTTGTTCTGGGCTAAGGACCTGGCTTCCACTTCAGTGAGAAGATGGAAAACATGAACATCTCTCGACTCAGCAGCTCCTTGACTCTTTAGCTACACTCTAGGGCAATTACCATCAAAGTTTAGTGAGTATCAGATGCACTTGGGAGCTCTTTAAAATGGAGGATCCGGGCCTCCCCTGGTGGCGCAGCAGTTGAGTGCTGGGCTGCGAAGCTACCCATAGCCTCTGTAGCGCTGGTTCGATCCCCGGCCAGGCCACCGGCGAGGGTCCCACATGGCGTGACAGACCTCTCCGGCCGCGCCCGCTGCTCCCCTCAGCAGCGTATTTCATCAGTCTGCCTGTTCTCTTCCCCACTCTGGCTCTGGTGAATTCTCTCATCCACCTGCGCTTCTGACTGTACCCAATACTTATATAAATAAATAAATCTTAAAAAAATAAAATGGAGGATCCCTCCCCCGAGCAACCCAGGAATCTGTAGTTTTAGCAGGTAAAATGATTCTGATAGAGGTGATCTTTACATTGCACATTTAGAGACTTAGAAGAAGGGTCACTTGTGCTGTCATTGCTGCCACACACCACCCCAGAATTTTTCAAAACAACACAGATCCTGGCTTCCCATGTCCCCCAAAGACATGCACTGCTATGTAGGGATCTTTTAATTCATCTACTGTGAACCTGGGAGAATCAAATTTTCCAGAGCAGTAGTTTCAGCACTTTCCTTTTCTCTTTAAAATGTCTCGGAAATTTTCAAACACACAAAGAGAAACAGTAACTATGATATAACCATCACTGTCCATGCCAATCTTGCCTCACACACACCTTCACCTAGAGTCTCCCCCACACATTATGACATCTTTTCAGCTTTATTATTGTTGATATAAATCACAGACATTTTATTACTTCACCTGTGAATATTTCAGTACGTATTTCTAAAAGATTAGGGCCTGTCGTATAATTGAACTGTCCTCTGAATCTCCTGCATGTTGGTCATTAGAGCTAGAGTTTGAGGACGCAGTTCTAAGACTCAGATTTTTCTTTGGCAAGACTGATTTTGTGGCGGTGGTGCCTTCTTTCAGCAGAAAGCCCATCGTGTCAGACTGTCATCTTATGTTGCTGGCGGTCAGTGTCCAATGAACACCCACACCCTTTTGCTTATCTGGGGTTGCAAAGTGCTTGCTTTCTTCTTTAATTACCTGACAACTTCTACAAAAAAGAAACTTCTCCTCATCTACCCAGTAGTACAGTTTGTATCAGAAAGGAACAAAAATATTAGCCGTTGTCTTTTTACTTAAGTGTCTTCAAAATAATGAACTGGTTCCTTGGTATCTTCCAGCAGTGAATACTGATTTTAAGAATCCTGACATCTTGGGCCTCCCTGGTGGCCTATGGGTTAAAGTCTCAGTGCTACCACCGAGCAGGCCCACTGCTATGGCCTCAGTTCAATCCCTGGCCAGGAATCTGACCCATGTGGCACAGCAGACCTCTCCTGTCTTGCCCGCTGCTCCCCTTGGTAGTGTATTTCAGTACATCTGCCTGTTCTGCTCCCCGTTCTGTCTCTGGTGAATCCTGTCACCCTTTGCATCTCTGGCCTGCACTCCAGTTCTTCTATGCAAAAATAAATAAGCAAAATATTTTTTATTTTATTTTTATTTTTTTAAATATTTATTTATTTATTTATTTATACAAGCACTGGGTAGAGTCAGAAGCACGGGAGGGTGAGAGAATTCACCAGAGCCAGAGCGGGGAGCAGAACAGGCAGACTGACGAAGTACACTGCTGAGGGGAGCAGTGGGCGCAGCAGGAGAGGTCTGTGCGTCATGTGGGACCCTTGCCAGTGGCCAGGGATTGCACCGGTGCTGCAGAGGCTGTGGGCAGCTTTGCAGCCCAGTGCTCAACTGCTGTGCCACTGGGGAGGCCCCTAAAATCTTTTTTTAAAAAAAATCATGACAACTTATAGGTTTCTTGTGCTCCAATTCACTGCAGCTATTTTTATTACTTCTCTTCAAAAATGAGTGGGATCCTCTTCAAGTTATATTCAGAGTTCCTCTGACACGATCCTAATGGTCTCTGAAGCTACCAATCCTTCTTTCCATTCTTCAAATCCCTTCCTGCCCCTCCTCACACTGCATTCCCTACCCTACCATCTCAGCAATTATTTTTCCTTAGAAGACAAGACCATGTATCACAAACATCCTCCATTTACAATTTACCTCATCTGCAAAATGGGAAGAATGCAGTGCCTACCTCAAAGGATTAAGAGGATTAAATGAGTTAATAACCGAAAAGCATTGGAACCGTGCCTGTCGCAGAGTGCTAGATAAGTATCTGTTGAAGAAAGAGTGTTTCTTCCCCATCTTTCATCTCCATGTTTCTCAGTCACTCCACCCTTTTCTCCTTCCTTCAGTGTCTGGGTGCAAGGAGAAGAACTTCCCTTCCCAGGCTGTCTGGGTGTAGATGCAGAGTCATTCTGCTCAGGGAACAAAGCTGCCACAGTGAGTTCACTTCTTTAGAGACAATGGAAACTTCTCTACTCGCTTGCAGAGATTAACACGTAACCCAAAGGCACCTTTCAATCTGCAGACAGAGCTTTCTAGTTTGGAGCATCTCTTCTGACCCCCTAGAAAGTTACACGGCTGCCAGCCTCCAAGTGTGAGAGTGGAGAACATGGCTTTCAGCTTTCCCAACAAGTTGACAAACCCTCATGGAGCCAAGTTTCCTTCCACCCCAAAGCTTCTGAAGCCCCAAGAATGTGTGTGGCTGCCCAGACCAGAAAGGCTCTGGATTTACAGGTGTGCCCTTTCCCCAGTGGGGAAATATTAAATTCCACAAGCCTTGGAATGTCAGGGGCCTTCTTATTTGGTTCAAAACAGTCCATGCCAGCAGATCCCAGTCAGTTAAAGGAAAAAGTAGGCACCAAAGAAAGGGTAAGATCTAAAAGAAAGGAGTCAAGGGACTGGCTTCCTGGAGGCTTCTTAGGTCCAAAGCCACTTTGGGTCTGGGGCAAATCTGCCCTGGCCCACTTCAGAGGATCCCCTGTGCCCCCAGCACTCTTGCTCTGGAGGAGACTGGAATGTTGGGGAAGTATTGTTTAACTGCCATCATGGCTTCCCTTGCTTACCTCTGTGGCCTGGGAAGAGGAAGCAGAAGCCCAGCAGGACATGCCTGCCAAATTTCAAGATCAGCTTACTCCCATCTCTCTCTGTAAAGTCCATTCCCTAACTCTGTCCCCTGCTAACCCCAGTCCTGACCTTCTCTCATGACCAGTTTCAGAAAGGAAAGAAAACCCCTTGGCTCCAAAATGACATCTGGAGAACCAAAGACAAGCCTCAAGGATGCCTACCCGTCTGCCAAGAGTCTGCTGCCAAAGGCAGAGGAGGAGGGGGAGGCAGATGACTACTGTACCCCTGGAGCCTTCGCGCTGGAGCGGCTCTTCTGGAAGGGCAGTCCTCAGTACACCCATGTCAACGAGGTCTGGCCCAAACTGTACATTGGCGATGAGTAAGTACCCAGGCCAAACCTCTGGCCTTACCCAGAAGAAGGCAGCCAGCCCCTACCCAGGTCATACCCCTTGCTATCACCTCACCGAGTTTTTGCTTATAGGTTAGTTGTTCTGTGAGAACTCTGTTAGGGCTGTGTTGCTTTTCCTATTACAGAAAACTCAGGGAGCCTAAACAAGATAGAGATTTCCTTCTCTCTCATTTAAAAGAAGTCCAGAGGAATGCAAGTTGGTACTGGCATGGAGACTCGGGGACATCAGGACTCAGAATCCTATGCTTCTACCATCACCATCCTTAGGGTGTGGATTTCTTCTGCAAAGTTGGTGCATGGTCTGAGATTACCAACAGGGCTGCTGCCATTTATCTACAGGATCCATTTGGCAAGATGGTAGAAGGAAAGAAAGACCAAAAAAGCATCTTTCTATAGAGAAGTCCCATCCAGATGGCCCCAGACTCTGGCTACAAGGGAGTCTGGGGAATGTAGTCTTTTATTTTAGCTGGGTAGAACACAACAAGAATGAAGTCGGTTCTCAGATTATGGCACAGGAGCATGGCGTGGTGAAGCATGGTTGGCCTAACAAAGATCAGGTTGCTGTCCCCTTCTCTAAACTTTCATAGTCACCATTTCCCACTCCTCAACTAGGAACTGTCTACTCTAAATACTCTTCCTACAATAATCATCCCTGTATTTATGAATGCCTAATCGACAAGTAGTATGTCTAGCATCTTGCATGTTTGATTTCATTTTATTCTCATCATAACCTAGTGAAAGAAGTCATATAATGAGTCCTGTTTTAAAACTGACAACTGAGGCACAGAGTAGTTAAATAACTTGCCTAAAGTGCACAGCTCAGCTGGATTCAAATGCAACTCTGCCCAACTCAGAAGCTTTCATCTTTACTAGTGCTGCAGCTACTCCTTTCAGCCCCCAGGATTCCAACTCACATTACATCTCTCCAAGAAGCAGATGGTGCAGGCCCCCAGCAGTGTGATTTTAATAAACATCTTGCTGCTTAATACCTAGAGATAGCTGTCTAGTCATGGGATATCCAGGGGTAGCAATGCTTGTCTTTTTTTTTATATATATATATTTTTTTTTTTAATGGAAAAAGTTATAAAGATCACATGCCCTTTTATATTAAATTAAACTAAATCCAGGGCAATAAAAACAATCATGTCCCCCTGTCCTCTTTTACTTCTATCCTTTTCTTACTGCTACACCACTGAGTAATCAAGTGTTCAGTTTACTTGCATATTTCTACTGCTTTCTGTATGCTACTGCAAATGTAAGACAGCATACACACATATAAAAGATTTTCATTTCATTTAAATAATTTTTAGCAAAAAAAGGGGATCAAACTGTCCATAATTTCAATATTCCATAGTATAGCTGTACCATGTCTCAACCAGTCATTTCCCAGTTATAAACACAAGGGGAATCTAGATGGGGGAGGGTATCAAGGTATCTAGGGACTCTCTGCTGTTTTCTTTTTTTCTAATAACATCTTTATTAAGATATAATTCACATTCCTTAAAATTCACCCATTTGAAGTATACAATTCAGTGGTTTCATTATATTCAGAGAGTTGTGTAACCATCACTACTATCTAATTTCAAAGCATTTTCATCACTCATCTCAAAGGAAACCCCAAACCCATTAAGTAATCACTCCCTATTCCTCACCTTCCCCAGTCATAGGCGACCAGTCTGCTCTCTGTTTCTAGGGATTTAACTCTTCCAGACATTTCCCATAACTGGCCATTCATTACAGACTTTTTTGACTTAGCATAATGTCTTCAAGGTTCATCTAAGCTATGACGTCAGTATTTTTTTTTCTTGCCAAATTAGGGCTTTTGCAACTTTTCTCCAAATCTAAAATTAGTTCAAAATAGAAAAGAAGCACATATACTTTGACCCAAAATATCAAAATGTAATTTACTTTAAGAAATGTAATTTACAGAAATAAGAGTACCAATACATAACTACAACATATGTAAGTACTGATAGATAGATAGATAGAGCAATGTTTATTTTAACAATGTTTGAAATACCAGAAAAAAAGGGAGCGGGGAACCTGAATCTCTTACATTTGAATGATAAAATATTAAATGAATATAGTAAATATATGGTTTTCCTGTTAGAAAAATAATACATGCTCGTTGTATAAATATAGATGTCAGTTTCCTTGTTGATAATAGGTGAGCAAGAAAACTTCTCCATAGGGTTGCATGACTTTAGGTAATATATATCAAATTTAGGGCAGTGCTGATACATAGTCAGAATTCAGTGAAGGTTAGCTATAACAATAAGAGTGATTAATAGTGCAAAGAAGAAAACTTTCATTTATTTTCTTATTATTTTTAAAAAATGTACATCTAACTTTTTGACAATATATGATTTCTCCCCTCAGGTCTGGCCACTGTAGTTCTCCCACCACCAAAGCATCCATAGTCCCTCGTGCTGTTCCCCTCACCCCCATTTTTCACCAGTCCTTACCCTCTGCCAAAACAATTACCAAAGCCCAGGACTCCAAAGCCACTTTTACCAGTATTTTAGTATGCTTTCCCCTAAACTTTTTATATTGAATATGTTATTTTTGTCATTAAATTTATCTATATATAATTGTAACCATATTGGTGATTCATTTTATCTCATCTTTCTTTGCAACAGTGCACCAATCATAAACTTTTCCCTTATTATACACTTCTCATACATTTAATTATGTTATAATAATGCTGATATTACCATAATACTCATTATAATGTTCATATGCACACTGTACATACGTATGTTATATATAATAATGTATCAGATAGATAGAAGATCTCTTCTTTAACCATTTCCCTATTTTTGAGCATATTGGTTATTTCCATATTCTCACTTTTATTAATAATGCTGCAATGGGCATTTTTATGCATAATTTTGTTTTCATATTTTGGATTATTTCCTTAAATAGGAACCTCTAAAAACGGAGATTAAGATTTAAAGACTTAACACTGTCACTCTGTTTTCACCTATACTGTTCCCTTTGCTTAAAATGCCCTTCCCTTCACCTTGTCTGTGTCTAAATCCCCTGCATTCTTCAAAGTCCATTCAAGACACTTGATCCTGGAGCCAGTTTTCCCCAATTCCAATAGCGAGATCATCTTTTCTCTCTGTCTATTATACACTATATTATCTTTCCCACAGCATTTAGTGGTAACAATAAAGCTGTAATGGATTCTTAGTGTGCCATGCCCGGTGCAAGGCATCATTTAAACACTACAACAGTCCTGTGAATGACATGCTGTTATTACTCCCATTTTGTATATGTGCAAACCAAGGCTAAGAGAGTTCCTGCATTGGGCTGTCAAGTCAGCCAGTATTTACTGGTGCCTTATCAGGAGCAGTGGGGGATACAAACAGAAACTGAGACTCCGAGAAATTAAGCACCCAAGGTCACACCACTAATAAATGGTAGAATTTATGCTCAAATCCAGACCAAGAAAATGTGACTAGTCAGATAAGGAAACGGTTTCACAGTTGAGAAGAGATGTGTAGACAGGTAACAGGGGACAGAGAGAAAGAGGTATGGGGTGGAAGGAGTGTGGGCGTTACCTTTATCAACTGCATGCTCCTGAACAAGGTATTTTATTGATCTTCTTCTATGGCAACAGCAATAGGGTTTATCTTCATAGGGTGAAGACTGAATGCATGAAAACAAGCAAAGTGTTAGAGTATTAGCTGGCACACAGTAAATGTTCAGTAAGTGCTTGGTATTATTAATGGATGGAGAAAGCAGCACAGAAGTGGTGAATTCCAAGCTTGACTTCGGAGAATGGGTAGGATTCCCGACAGAGGGAGGAGGATGAGAAAAAGCACGGAAGTGGGAACAAACATCTTGATTTATTTGAAGACAGGGAATGAAGAAAGTGTACTTTCAGAAGGTCTGGGAGAGGAAAGGGTAAGCTAGCCCTAGGGTGAGGGGGGACAATAGTGTAAAGGATAATACACCATCTACCTCAGTCACAATCCATTCCAGATTTGGATGCTTAGGATAGGTCCTTTTGCCTTTCAGGTTCTAAGTCCTCATTTCTAAAAATGGTTACTGAGACAGTCAAAGAGACAAGAAATGTGAAAGCATTTTGTAAACTACCAAGTGACAGACAAATGCAAATGTTACTGTTATTATTGCTATTTAGTGAGAAAGAAGCCTGAGAAGGCAGGTTAGGTCTAGCTTGTGGAAGGCTGAATGCTGGCCAGGGGACTTTATTCAGGAAGTGATTAAGAGAATTTAAATAAAACAGACATGTTTTACTTAACCAAGAGCCAGGCATTAGGGTTTGATGCAGTAAGATATGCCTGCGTCCTGAACATCTTTAACCACAATCTTGCTTCCTTCAACCAAGAAAATGTCACTGCACCTCCAATTCAGTACAGCTCTGTCTAACCAAGTTCCAAAACAAACACACACATGCACAGTCTAGGCAAGCTCCATGGTCAGTGTGTCACCTGTGTGTCCAGCAGGTAGTGAGGGCTGAAGTCAGTGTGGCATGCTGCTCGTCCCACCTCTGATCAGGATCCCTCTTCGACACTCAGTTAGGAAGGTTAACAAGACTCACAGATGCTTATTGACAGAGCAATTCATTCTACTGCCAATGCAACCACACACAGGTTAGACCCTGGCTGTGAGCAGGAAAGGCTGCCCGTGTTTCTTAGTCTTTGCTGGTATTGCCCAACGCAGTGAAAAGATCAGAGCTGACTCCACATGCACAAAGCCTCTGTTTTAATTTGATGTTTGCATTTAGATTGAGTTTTCTCTTGCCCCAGGAGCAACTAAGATTTTTCAAAGAGAAATTACCAAGGCTCTGGAAGTTGAGGCAATCAGAACCCAGAGTGAGAAGAGCCACTGGGTAATCTTGGGACTTGTTGGGGACTAGACTCCCCACCAAGAAGCAACTCATTTTTTCCCCCTCTTTCTCTCTCCTCAAGGGCTTCTTTATGCAAAGAGGCAAAATGGCT